CCCTCCCCTCCCGCGCTAGCCTAAGGGCCACCTTAGCAAAGCGCATCCCAGGCTGCATAGCCGCACTACCCTACCCAACCATACCACACATAAACATGACACTACCCCCGGGGTTTACACAGACGAGCAGGTCCCGCAAGAAGAGCGCCAGAAGAAAGGGCCCTAGCCGGCGGGGCCCAGCCAGGACAAAAGGAGGTCCCACAAAGCGCCTACACCGGCCGCATTTGCGGGCTAAGAGGGATAATCCCCCTCGATCCCAAATCATTGAGGCCAATTTCTAGCCATGGAATAATGGCGAATTAAACAATTAGTTGCAAAAAAAACGAACGAAATTAATTAATAAATTTCATCAACATCCGTCGCTTTTTTCAATAATGCGCAATTTTCGAATACTGCTATTTCCGCGTTTGGCCTTAATTTCGCAGTTAATAAATGAGTGAAAATTGACTCTAGGCAGCTTAAATTGAAGGTAATTTAATTGCCTCTCACAAAAAAGCTAATATTTCAATAGAGGTCTCTAGATTTTCGTGGGGAGTAAAATAAATAAAAAAACTCGTAAATATATGCAATTTGACAACTTAGCGTAACTTTTTTTAAGTTACTTTTTTGATATTATCATTCTACATACCCTTCCCCGCCATAAAGTACAATAAAATGTGTACAAATAATTTTTTCAAGTTTCCAGGTTTTATAATCTAATTCGACTGTAGTAGTTATACTTATTTCTTCCATTTAACTTCTATATCAGATAAAATTATGTTTTTAATATCCATTCAATCTATGAAATATGTTATTTTAAGTAATCTCTGAATTTTTACACTGAATCTTCAGATCCGAGTTCTCTTAAAACAATTATTTTAAATGCTTAAAAATAATAAAATAATCCTATTAAATATAACTTACATATTAACAAATTATAAAACCAGCTCTTGACTTCCATACCAGGGAGGGCGGAATTTAGATACAAGTATTGAAAAAAAATCAAATACAGGGTGTCCGCAAATTTCACCGCCAACGTTTGACTGCATATTCACAACGATAAATGTAAACGATCTATGAAAAAAAAAGTTAAATAAAAACCTTTTGATTTTTGAGTTCCAGGCCTTCAAAGTTGTCAAAAATAAAACTAATTTAATTAATAACTTCATAACCCTTTTACCGATCGCGTTAAAATTTGGTACATTTATTTGGATTTATTATTGCGTATTATTTCTTAAATTTTTAGTCAAATCGATATACCGGGTGATAGTTTTCTCCGGTTACCTCTCCCTCTTAACGGTCACAACTTGGTCGTTTTATTTAAAAAAAAGTATTGTCTTGAGAAAATTGCCTACAATGTTGCCGCCCGCTTTAAAAAAATACGACCAAGTTTTGACCGCTAAAAGGGAGAGGCAACCAGAGAAAACTATCACCCAGTATATCGATTTAACTAAAGCTTTAAGAAATAATATGCAATAATGGTGCAAATAAATGTACCAAATTTTAACGCGATCGGTAAAAGGGTTATGAAGTTATTAATTAAATTAGTTTTATTTTTGACAACTTTGAAGGTTTGTAACTCAAAAACCAAAAATTTTTATTTAACTTTTTTTCGTAGATCGTCTTTATTTATCGCCTTGAATGTGCAGTCAAACGTTGTTGGTGAAATTTGCGGGCACCCTGTATAATTGGGTAGATTTGTTTTAAGTACTATTGAAATATAGGGAAAATGTACTCAACACTATTTTTATAGTGAAAGTCCATTCTTCTGCTCTTGCCCAAAATAAAATGTTCAATTTTTCATTAAAGTTTGGTATTTCTCGCACCATTGGATTTTCAATAGATAGCAAGTGCTCTTAATTTGTCTTTACAATCTAATTTAAATTTTACCAATCTTTAAAAAAATATGCAAGAAACAATACGAAAGTAACAAAATTTTACACCACACGTGAACAAATTAAGTTTAATAAGAAAAAAAGTGACGAATAGCTTTTACTTGGTTACGGGCCAGACACTCCGTCTTTCACTGCTGTACAACGGTAGCCATAAGCACCGCTGTAAACACTTTACAGATTTAGGGATGAGCTACGAGGACACCTTTTCCAAGTCATAATATAAACTTAAATTTTTTTTAAACCATAGTTAGCTACGAGCTAGAAAAAATTGACTTTTTTTATGCTTTTCAACAATATAATATTCGGTATTGTTTTGAAAAATGGGAGAACTGCAGTCCTTTTTAACTTTTCAACTGCTCGTTGACATAGATAGCTGTGAAAACAATCAAACTATTTACTGACAATGCTTTTAATTACTGTAGCATTATTTTGATAGTTACTTTTCTTTCTTAAAAGTCATTTCAATTACCAGGGACAATGAATTTTTCAAACGAGGAAAAGCGTGATATTATTTCATTTACTCACCATAAATGATTCCCATCATTATAAAATTAAAAATTTAAATTAAAATATGTCAGTCGCACACTGCTCCGGTGCCCTGACATACAGAGGTGTGCACACAATGTCAACTTCAATTGTTCAGATTTTATCCGTTGGATTGTGTATAATTTTCACAGCTATCTACGTCAACAGGCAATTGAAAAATTAAAAACGGCTGCCGTTCTCCCATTTTTCAAAATAACAATGCCAAATATTATATCGTTGGAAAGCATAAAAAAAGACATTCTTTTCTAGCTCAATGCTAACTATGGTTTACATTAAAAAAACTTTAAGTTTATGTTGTAATTTGAAAATGAAAGTGTACATGAACAATTTGGTCACACTGTCTTATTAAGACATCAAAAACCTGAAACTTTGTAATTTAAAATTCTTTTGTAAAATAAATAGCAATGAAGCTACACGCATCAGAAGGAATTGGCCGAATTCGGATTTTTCCAAATATCGTCAGCCATGACGTTTTTTCAAAAAATAAAAGTAATATTTAATAAGGATCATAAAACTGCACGTGTTTCCTCAATTAAGCTTTTTTGTATCTCTACTTTCCCAAATTTCTACACTAAACATTGAAAAAAACTCACCCTGTATTTTCAGTATTTTTTAAATGAATTTTGCAAGTCAAGTTAAATTGACTGCAAACTACAAATTTAACATTTCCTTTTTAATGCGGTTCATAAGACTAACGTATTAGATTATCTAAATAACACCGTAAACTAAATTTGAAATAACATTTTTTTACTAATATTTCCAGGGAGAGAGGCACTGCGCCACCTGCACTTATTTTAATCCAAAAAACGAATTCTTGATCTCGATACATGGAAATCCATTTGAAAAGAAGTTGACACAGTTACACAACTGTAATACATATCTGTGTGATTTTATATGTGGTTTTAATAACAAAAAGTATGAAATAAATAAAAGAAAAATTAAAAAATTGTAAAATTTCGTTTATTATATTAAATTATTGAATATTTTAAGTAAGACAGCAAACACTTAATACATTAAAGACCTACTGATTCTTCTTTACCATCGTAAGTAATAGGATCAAATAAAAATATGTTATTAATCGGAACTTCTTTATGAGAAACTGCTTTGATAACCTCTTGAGCAATGACACCTCCCAGAACTGCACACACAGGAGCCACCTCTCCAAAGATGATGTTAAAAATTTCGTCGGTTAAATGACAATTTGATCCATCTACCTGATATAAATTAAACACATCGTCTCTGATAGACTGTAAAGACTTGATATCAGCAGCTTTGTGTGAAATCGATGGATTTCTACCATGTTTATTTCTGAATTCAATGAGGGCTAAAAAGAATTGTGTTTGTGTTAATATTAGTTAAATATATCAAAAATAAAAAAATAATAAGATTATAATATAATATTGCTATATCGATGTTTAATTAACTTTTACCTAACATAAGGAAGAAAAGCTCATTCCTCCTCCTAGACTTTTTGATAGATGCAGCATTTTGTTTGGTATTGGGTAAAATTAAAACTTTATTCAAATCTGGATAACTGATAACTCCTTGAACTTTTACTGTAGTTTTTTCAGCACCATCATGAAACCTTTTCTTACCAGCTAACTGAACTTGATCCCTAGAAAAAATGTTATAAGATTTCTCCTTTGGAAATGTGTCTAACTTACTCGAAATAATCATGTTCCTGAAAATCTGCTAGAGAATATCCAAATGTTCCAAAAACATCTCCACAAATCAGTTTTACATTTTTCGATCTACAGATTTTATCAATTTTTAGTAGCAAATCAGTCTTTATGCCAGTTGCTACAATTATAGTAAAATTTTCAAAGAACTTCAAATCTTTAGATAAAGGTGAATCGGTGTCAGAAGAAATTTTTACTAGTGGATTGAGGGCTTGAGCTTTTATTAGTACTTCTTCAGCAATCTGTAACAACAATTATGATAGAGAAAATACAACTAACATTATACCCTAAACCGAACTTTACATAGAATCTCTTGAAAAAAGTTTCCATAAATATTGCGGGCATACTTGCGTTCACTCCATAGTCGCCGTTATTGTTGAAGGGTATCGAGGGATATAATAATGAGTATTATTATTACAATTGTGATTTTGATATGATAATCTAGAAATCAAGTTATGAAAATGTCAGAAACAGATGTAAAAATCAAGGAATAAAAATATGTTTTCCACAGTGATGTAATTAATCAATCCCACATGAAGGCTGCAAAATTGGTGACCCCGACGTGATCGAAAACTAACGAAAAATTTTGAACAACAGACAAAAGAATGGATGGAGTAGCAGTCAGCTTCCAACCACCATCTATAAAATCAAGTGAGAACGAGGAGCGAGGAACTCAAGAGGAAGGAGAAACAAGAATCAAGAAAAGGTACCGAGTTATTCGTCGTCGTGAAGATATATCGGATTTCAGCAAGCAATTGTAGGTGAACCATGAGAGTGGGTGTAAGTTACAAACAATAATACTCCCATTTTGAAATTTAACTAAAGTAGCTTATATTGGCAACAATTAATTATTAGTAACTTATTGGCCAATTCTGATAATAGTGATAATACTGTCAATCAAATGTCTGATGGGACAAATCAAATAGCTTCATCATCATTAAAATTACCTAAATTTTGGATTTAGTCCAGACGGTATCTGTTTTAAAAAGCCATATTTGGGTGAATCGTATGTATATCCACAGAGATTTTTGGCTTTTTGGCTTTCAAATATCACTAGAAATGAAAATTTTTCTATGCGCATAAAAAAAACGTGGGCTTAACTTTTGGCGGCACAATATGTTAAAAAAATTCGAAAAATGTCATATTTTTCTTCCTATTTAATTATGTATCTTTTCAAGAGTTGATTTTAGGCGAAAATGGAAGAGGAAAAAAATGTTTGTAATTAAATTTTTTACAATACATGACTGGTTACAAATCGAATGAATCATGATTATTATGGTAAAAATCGAAAAAATCACAAAAATGGGGTTAAAAAACAATACTTTTTAGGGAATTTTTTTGGTGTATTTAAATTGGGTGTAGGACCTTTATACTTGGCTCAAGAAAACTTCATGTTATGTAGAATCATCACACCAAATTTCATCAAAATCGGTTCGATAGATTTTGCATAATAATTTTGCAATCCAGATTTTGAAAAAAAAATTGCAAATTTTCAAAATTTTGCACAGCAAAAACCAAGGCCCTTAGATACTTGAAAATTTAATCACATATAGAAGGGCTCTCAGGCTTTCAAACTTTTTTTGAAAAATTCGAATCCGTCAATTAGGAGAGCTCTGGCGCTTGTTTAAACATTGGTCGAATTTTTGTACTTATAAACAATTAGAACTTTGTGAATATTCAATCAAATCAAATTTTTTAAAGCAGGTTTTAAAAGTTCTTGGAAAGACGCTTCTTTTAAAAAAAAACAAATCGATTGATCAATTAGTTACGTAGTTATAGCCGTCATTTACACTAAATGTACTGGGACATCCGGACTAATTTTTCAAAAAATACCTTTGGTATTCCGAGTACTTACCAGGTCTAAGATTACAATACTTTTCTTCATTGGCAACCTAAAATATTCCCTAAAAAGTATTGTTTTTTAACCCCATTTTTGTGATTTTTTCGATTTTTACCATAATAATCATGATTCATTCGATTTGTAACCAGTCATGTATTATAAAAAATTAAATTACAAACATTTTTTCCTCTTCCATTTTTGCCTAAAATCAACTCTTAATAAGATACATAATTAAATAGGAAGAAAAATATAACATTTTTCCAATTTTTTTAACATATTGTGTCGTCAAAAGTTAAGCCCACGTTTTTTTTTATGCGCATAGAAAAATTTTCATTTCTGGTGATATTTGAATGCCAAAAAGCCAAAAATCTCCGTGAATATACGATTCACCCAAGCCAAAACAGATACCGCCTGGTCTAATTAGTAATCCAGAAATTTGGTTTTATCAAGTAGAAGCCCAATTTGCTTTAAACAAGATTAAATCAGATAGGATTAAATATGATAACATCAATGCTACATTACCTTTAGAAGTTGTCAAATATCATTGATATTATTGAAAACCCTCCAAATAATTTATATATGAATTTAAAGGAGAAAATTGTTAATAGGCTAACTGCTAGCGTTTAGAGCAGCGCTTAGATGTACTTTTATCAGGTTCAGACTTGGGAGATAGAAAACCCTCTGGGATTTTTTTTAGAGATATATCAAGGACAGTGGGGTAGTTATACTGTAAATAGTTACTGAAATAGTTTTTGGTAATAGCCCGGGAGCCAGCGACCTTTTTTGATGACCAAAAGAGCAAAAGCTGAAAAGTTTTCCTTTGCTTCATTTGGTGTCACTAGTAAGAGAATCGACCTCCAGCTCGCGCACTTCGGGGGGGGGTATAGTTGCGTCAGCCTCCCAAACACGTAAAATAGTCATTAAAAAAAACTAATACTGCAGAAGCTGAGACTTTGTCGACATTGATTATGTTATAAACAAACGAAAAAATGCAATCAGCTAACTTTAGAGTGGGAGGTTATGCTTCAGCTTTTCATCTAAATAAGTCAGAAATATGCGCTAGGTAAACTGATACCGCAAAAGCTGAAATTTGGATATTAATAGTCATCTTAATCAGTTATACGAAAAAAATTGTTCGCTGAAGTTTTTGCGGTGTATAAGTGCTCAGCTGATGAGTTGAAGATGCAGCATATCGTTATGCGCGCGAGCGCGTTACATCTTTGACTTTATAAGCTGAGCACTTTTCCTTCACTAAGTATAAAGCTGATCATATTTTTTATTTAATTTATTAAATTAGCTATTGTATTACCAAATTTCAGCTTGTGCGGTATGAGATATGTATTATTTTTTAATTTTTTTAATTTTTACTAGTAATTATATAAAAATATACAACTTTTTTCGAATATTTATTTACAATAAACGTTATGTGTGAAAGAGTCTATTATCTATTTTATTTTCCGATTCATCACCCTCAAACTCATGGTCGCTGGAGTCAATGTCGATTCCTGCCATTTGAAAAATGAAAAAATTAGATATCTCCTGCCACAAAAGCTGAAATTTGGTAATACAATAGCTAACTTAATAAGTTAAATGAAAAAATGCTCAGCTTTATATTTAGTGATTGAAAAGTGCTCAGCTGATAAAGTTAAAGATGCAATGCGCCCGCACGCATAGCGATGTGCTGCACCTTCAATTCGTCAACTGAGCTGAGCTGACTGATTTGTCATACACCGCAAAAACTTCAGCGGACAATTTTTTTCGTATAACTGATTAAGATGACTATTACTTTACCAAATTTCAGCTTTTTCGGTATCAGTTTACATAGCGCATATTTTTGACTTGTTTAGGTCAAAAGCTGAGGCATAACCCCCCACTCTAAAGTCAGCTGATTGCGTTTTTTCTTTTATTTATTTATTTATTTATTTACAAGTTACAATATCCAACGGGACAAAGTCCCAATTATAGGATAAGGTAAAACAGAAAACCTTAACTAAATTTTAAAAGAAAAAGACAAACTAACATTAAATATAAAAATATAAATACTACATAACATAGAGCAATCAAAATATAAAATCCAGACAAAGAACTTAAGGATAAACAATAACAGACAGATAAAACAAATAAGCTAACAAACATATACAAGATAAGGATTACATTTACTAGACAAACAATTTTTTTATGTCATTCATACAATGAAAAAATATATCAAGTCGATCTTCATACTTCTGGTAATTGGAAATCATTTGATATAGGGGAGATGCTATTAGTAAGTTGGTACGAGGTGTGGGTAATTGTAAAACGGAGTGAAATCTAGAATTAAGTCTAGGAACATGATATAAAATCCTTGAGACTAACGAGTCTGCATTTAACGTGTTATTTATGATTTTAAAAAGGAATATAATTGAAAACATAATTCGCCTACAACAGAGACTATTAAAATTAAAACAAGAAAGCAATAAATCTTGAGGTGATTTGTTTATAACATAATTAACTTGTCGACAAAGTCTCAACTTTTGCGGTATAAGTTTTTTCAGTTTATTATTTTACGTGTTTGGGAGGCCCCTGCAGCTACACCCCCCGGAACTGCGCGAGCTGGAGGTCGATTCACTTACTAGCGATACCAAATGAAGCGTAGGAAAAATTTTCAGCTTTTGCCAAATAACTAACTCAAAACGGTCGCTGGCTCCCGGGCTATAATCGTCTGTTCCACAATTTTAATAACAATTCTTGTCTCATTACTGCTGATCTCCCCAATATCATTTTCTATCTAATTAATAATTTAATGATGATGAAGCTATTTGATTCGTCCCATCGGACATTTGATTACAAGTACTATCACTATTATCAGAATCTGCCACATTACTAATAATTAATTGCATGTACTACTGTTGCCTTTAGTTAAATTTCAAAAGCCAGGGTATGGGAGTATTATTGTTTGCAACTTACACCCACTCTCATTGTTCACTTGCAATTGCTTGCTGAAATCCGATATAATCTTCTTCACGACCACAAATAACTCGGTTCCTTTTCTTGATTCTTGTTTCTTGACTCGAGTTCCTTGCTCCTTGCTCTCACTTGATTTTACAGATAAGCTTGTGACGTTCCTACAAATCTACTCACCCAAGTATTATTTGTGTAATAGCAGCGGCCTGCCAGCTACAGTGAAGAAGGGCGGGGTGGATTAGGATAGATATTTGGAACGCCACTTGGTTTAGCACTGCTGCTATACTATCCGGTTAAAAAACAAGAAAACCCAGGTACCCACTACTTTAAGGTAAGTAAATTATCAAATCAATTGTTTATTTTTGTGAAAGAAAAGTATCTCCTTTTTTTTGGTAAAATATATAACCGTGTAATATAACCGTATTATATAAATATAATTATTTTGTATTTGGTGCGGGT